CACTGAAACCTCAACAGTCTGGTGGCTTGCCAGTCCCAGTGCTCCATTGGTTTGGTGGACCAATCACAGCACTCCGTTGGTGGGTGGGATGTTACTGATACAAAGATGGTGACGGCTTGTTTGAAACGGCTTTGGCAATAGTCTCTTTCTGAAGTATTTTTCTTATCCGATGGCACCATCTAGTGGCTGACAAGCATATCACACAAAAAGTCTCTCCATCCATTTTTTTAAGATGGCGACTTCACGTTTCTTGTTTATAAATGTGCTTCTGTTGCCGACAAATAGAGCTAAAACATGTTGTTTTACGAGTATTATTCTCATGTCATGTTGTATTCTCATATATTTGTATTTTAAAGACTTACTTGTTCGTGAAAAGTTCATCAACTGTGCATCAGCTGAGGTATTCCTTAAATTTGAAGCATGTAAGCAGTAGTCTAACGCTGTTGGTTAGTTCTGGTCAACGCTCAGTTTCCTATTGCACGGAGCTCTGCGGGGCAGGCGGCGTGCTTAGCAAAAAAAATTGCTTACATCAGGGTTCCTCGATTGTGACGGTCCAAGGGCCACTTAGCAAAACGTACGCAAAGAGGCCGTCTATTGAGTACCGCTGGCTTACATTATATCACAGTACACGATAAGACAATCACTTTTACGGATTTCTGAAAAATCATACACATAATTTCTGAAAGGGGAAAACTCCTGAAAGACAGTTTAACTTTGGACTATTCAGACTTGGGCTTTTCTTTGAGTCAAGAGTAGACATAAGTGTCCTTTAAAGGATGTATTGGCGTCTTCTTCAACGGTGTGTGGTGGACTGTCCATTGACTGACATCTGTAGCTGTCATGTTGTTTGTTTTCCAATAGCATGTGGAGACAATTTTAAAGATAACTGTAGGTCCCGCCCCACGACTGAGAGCAGTCGAGGGGTCGTAACCAGACTATATATTCACATATATAGAATGGCTTGCCAGGCTAGGGCACCACTGTGTGGTAGGGCACAAAACAAGCGAACTTGGTCTTTAAACAATTGTTAACATTTAAAAAGAATAAGTATTATTCAATGCTGATTTGTCTTCCTTATGCAAAAGCCATAGATTGAATGTCAGGAGGTAGCCTAGATCTAGACCATCATTTGCCAAAGCAAAATAATTTTGATTTGCATTTCATATATCAAGCATATATAGGATGGCTTGCCAGGCTAGTCTGAATATTCTATTCAATCAGCTTTATTTATATAGTACAGGTCATACAGAGACAACTCCATGTGTTTCCAGGTTGCAAGAAAACACGGTGAAAACATTAAACAGCAGATTTTAAAATACACAAAATATTAGTGCAACTTTTGTGGAATTTTAGATAGTTGTCCTTTAATCTGCTTTATATTCATTGTGCAATTGTGTTGATTTGTTTGCCATAAAGAGCACTGCTAAACAAGAGCAGGGGCCTCATTTATCGAGCTTGCTTACGCACAAAACGGGGTCGGAAAACTGCGTAAGCAACTTTCCGCACAAACTTTGGGATTTATGAAAGAAAACTTAGCGGAAAAATGTGCGCAACTTTAAGTTGACTAAGGACCTGGCTTACGCACATTTTGGACATGGAGAGCAGCTGCAGTGCTGCTGCTGAGAAGATACAATTATGAAATCCTGCAGCGTTATCACTAATGTCGCCGACAAATAGAACTAAAACATGTTGTTTTACGAGTATTATTCTCATGTCTTGTTCATTTTCATACAGAACAAGACCCCCCACGCGTACACACATGCGCGCGTACACACACATGCGTGCACACTCTCATACACGCGTGCACACACACACACACACACATACACACAGACAGCCTGAAGTGCAGAATACGGAATGCAGAATATCAGCAGGAGGACAGACGAGACAGAACGTCATGCGTCTGTGACAGGGTGTGTGTCCTGTCACTGTGACCCTATTGATCATGCGCCCTGGCTAGTTGAACGGGGAGATTTTCATTTGGCTGACTGGCTAGCGCGCGTAACTCTCACCCGGGAATCTGGGGATTGAATCCCGATTGGACCATTTTTTTTTATATCCGCCACAGATCTCTGAATAATTCACAACATTGACAGCTTTAGCAACGCTGTGCCACTCCGTGGATTTTCTCATATTTGTTTTGCAAAAGCACTTCCTTTCATTTCTCCACCTCACCCACAGGTACCTCAATTTCTGCTTCTGTGAAATTGCACATCCTTGATCTTCCTTGATCTGCCTTGATCTACGGTCGCCATGTCATTGGCGGAGCGCTGCAACAGCCGACTTATGTACATGCATGAGCTCCACAAGGCACTTTGCATTGACTATTTATGGCAGTAAGTGGGCGTGGTGAGGGCGGGATGTGACTAAAAAGCAGCTGAGATACATTCTCGTTACTCTCCGATTTATGAAGCGGAGATTGCGTGTAGCTGTGTGTACTCCATGTTTGATAGATCACAAACCTACTTGGCGTAAGTACTTTTTTTTTTTGCTGAGCTTAAGTACAGTTTTAGTAAGGATTCTACGCAATGTTTGATAAATGAGACCCCAGGTCAATAAAGAATACAGCATTGATCCTTAAAATTGATTTACAATAGAAGTGTCTCTGATTTTAACTGCTTTATCCATGTTGACAGTCATTTTTAAAGGAAATGTGCCGCTTCTTTAGAAAAGATTTACAGCTTTTTGCACAAAGGCTGAATTAAATCTTGCACAAGTTATCCCACAAATCCAAAGCAAAACAGTGGTTGAGGAGTCCCAGAAAGACCCAGAAAGATTCAGAATGCTCCAGACGGCTGAGAATCCTTCTAGAAGCATCTAGACGCTGCTAGGGCCCACTGTGTCACGCCGTTTAAAGACTAATTCATACTCATCAGCTACAATATTACAACCTTTTTTGTTGCCGTCAGAACTGCTCTGATCAGTCAGAACAAAGACCTTGTGGGGGGTGCTGTTGGTCATGTAACCAACAGATCCCTGCAGGATTGTGGGGTGGGGTCTCTATGGGTTGACCTTGCTTTCCACACATCCCATCAGATTGGTATTCAGGGAATTCACAGGTCAAGTGAAAACCCTGGGGCTCTTTGTTGTGCTTCTAAGCATTGTTTTGTGATGTGACTGGTTGAGGGACGTTGTTGATTGGAGGCTGAAGATGTTTTAGCATCCAAATGAAAACCAGGATGTGGGTTTTCTGTTGTTTTTGGCGCATAGCTGTTGGTATGATTACCTGTATCAATACGCAGACCTGTGATAAGCTGATGCTGAATGTTGACTGAACAGAGCAGGTTCAGTGTGATCCGTGGGGGGGGGGGGGGGGGGGGGGGGCTGGGCTTCCTGGGTTTGGAACTTGTGACTGTAAGTACAGCACAGGGGAAGTTCCTTTTGTTAGCTGGTCACACTGCACGTTCTCGCCGGGCTCTCATGCCTACTTTGTTTCCTCCCTAATTCACATCACGTCACAGTTGCTTCCCGCGCAACAGCTGAGGAGACTCGATAACCCCCCCCCCCCCCCCCCCCCCCCCCTCTTGGACTTGTGCCCCCCGCCGCAGTGCAGAAACACACACCTGACTCTGACTGATCCGCTGTGGCATCATGTCTCACAGAGCATACATAAAAACACAGTTCTAATCAGATTCAAATGCAGCTTTTCAAGTAAACCAGTGGGGTCCTGATCTGTTTTTCCTAAAAATAGACTGGTGCTTCGCCAGGACAGGAAATGAGACCCCTGTGGGTTTTGGATGAACTGAACTGGGGACTTTGCTGTTTCCCCCTCTAACTATTTAAAAGTTCATCACAGCTTTGATCCCTGAAAAGCAGGGTAGGGTCTGAGGAAGTCTGACATTAAAAAGTATGAGTATCCTACCAATATAAAAGAGGGGTGAAAATACCTCCTAACGTCTGATTTGAATCTGTTTATTATAAGGGTTTGTGTATCAATGTGCAGGAAACCCCAGACAGTAACACTGATAAACGACAGTTGAATGAAGTCACAATCTAACCATCAAAGGGAATTGGGGACATTAGATAGGGGATCTCGAAACCCTCCTTTTATTTTGGTGGACATCTCCTGCTTTAAGATGGTCTGAAATTTTAGTTCAATATTTAGTTTAAGATCAATACATTCATGTTTATATTTAGACGTTTTAAATGTATGCATTTCATTTGATTATAACTGTTGACAGTTTTATTTGGATTCCTGGGACAAATGACGAATGACCTGGTGCTTTTCTGAGTCAGAGGACTTCAAAGCACTTTCATCCATTCACACCACACACATTCACATGCTGGTGGTGATGATGAGCTACAGTGTAGCTGCAAGTATGGTGATCAGTTTAGGACGTTCAGACTATCTGTCATTGTTATGAGAAGCTGGATGTTGCTTTTATTTATTTACTTGTGTAGCTAGTTGTAGAATCGGAGCCGCATAGCTCCTAGTTTGGGTTGCAGAGATGAAAGTTTCAGATCAGACACGAGAAGAGGGGAAAGAGAGGAGCGATCTCCCATCTCCCCGTCAGCCTACGTGTGCTGGCTCACATTTTATGTGCTCCTGCTTGTCCTCCTCTCTCACCCCTCCTCCTTCTGTCTCCCCGTCGCGTCCCCCTTCCTCCCCTCCCTGCTGTTCCTCAAACAACAAGTCCATGGCTGCTGCTACTGCTGCTGCTGGGGGAGAATAAATATCAAGCAACAGAGAAAATGTAAAGGAAAACTACTGTTTAGGAGGGGTGTCATATGGGGGGAGGGGGGGAGGGTTTCTTATGACGGAAAAAAATAAATAAAAAAGAAGGCGGAGCGAAGCTACACACGAGTGGGTGGTTGTTTCAGTCAGCCAATCAGAGGCGGGGAGACGCCCCCCTTTCTCCCTTGGGGCGTGACCGGAGCAGAGCGTGCGTGCGTGCGTGCGTGCGTGTGTGTGTGTGGCTTAATTTAAGAGTGTGTTCCCACACAGACTGGCTGTTGTTGTTGAGGACGCTTTCTTCTTGTGAACTCTCATGGTCCTGCAGACGTTCAGGATGAAGATCCAGGAGTCGCCTGTGGCCTGTGACCCCGGGAGGATCGGCGGCGTGTCGGACCCGGACTGCGAGGACGTTCCGCGGCTGGACCTGACAGCTCTTACCGAGGACAGCTGGGGAGGTGAGGCTGCAGGCCACCCTGCTGCTGCTGTTGCAAATGTTTACCGAATTTATTGACGTGTTTTTAAATAAATAATGCACAGATAGTTTTTGTAAACAAGCTGCGAATTTGCACGCATAATTGCGCCATTATTTTTCTCCCCCTTTCCCCCCCATAAACTCCCCAAATCTGAATGAGAACGGTGTTTAGTTGGTTGATTGTTGCTATTTTATTCTGGCTTTATTTACAGAGTTTTTACTGATTTAAACAGGTGCGTTAGTACCCGGATGTAAACAGATTACAGCGCAGTAATGTGCGCAGCCTTATGTGGAAATGCCTGCAGCTCTAATCGCGATCACTGGAGGTTGATAACAGACAGAGGCTGCATGTAAGTAGCTCGCTGGTCCAGTTTGAAACGTGGTGCTCCATTTAAACAGCACTAGACAGATATTTATGTTCATTTCCCCTCAGATTAACATTTTAATTGCCATCATGTGGTTTCAGGCATTTATTTATTTTTTATTTTTTTGCACAAATCTTAATCGTAACCCGTGAAAGATAGCAGAAGCTTTGATTATCAGTAGCTTCAACACAAGTTGGCTGAATCAACTAAAGCGTTGCATCATTTACACACATCTCTTCCTTCCTGGTTTCCTTTGATTTCCTTCTGCCCTGTTTGTTTTTGCAGAGTGACACTATTGGTGCAGAAAGACATAAGGTGTAGCTTTGGGACTCTTGGATAGGAGGTTGTAACACAGAGAGCGTGTGTAAGGATGTGAAGCTTCCAGGGGTTTAGATGAACCACACACACACACACCCACACACAGGAATGATAAAACCAACAGGTCCTCCCTTTAAAAGGCGCAGTCACACAACGCTCTGTGGTTTTGCTGCATCTGTGTGTTTACATCTGCTCGCCATCGCTTCCTGTTTGACCTAAGGCAGAAAAATATTGTTTGATGCAATATCCTATAACTAATAACTTGGCTTTGAACATCAGCAGGCAGATGCATGCTTTTGTGGAGCTCTCTAGTGGCCAAACTTCATACCTGGAAAAATACTGGAGCTCTAGCAGGGGGAGGTTCCTGTTGCCATGCAGCCTTATTTTTTGCATGCATGCATGGAGTATATTTGTTTGTTCAAGGCAAGCAAAAATTTTGCACAAGTCATTTTGTGTATACCTTATTTTAGTGAGCTCAGAGCAGTGAGAAGCCCACAGGGATGATGCTTGGATGCTCAGACGTGCTGCACCTCCTCTGGGTCCCCCTCTGAGCAGGAAAACATGCTGTAGCATGAACCACATGTTTGTTGAGATGAGCATTGCTCTGAATAATCAGTTGCAATGGTGCTGTAGAGATGGGCTTATGGGTGCTTCAGATAGGGGTCTGCACCCTTTGTCCCAGTACACTCTGTAACTGTGACCTGATATTTCCCCCGTCTGTTTGCAGACATGTCAGCAGGAAATGGCATAGTTCTGGAGCTCATGTCTCGTGAGTTAATTAGAGTTAAAAGACAAGCACAGAAAACTCACCCCCCCCCCCCCCCCCCCTCATCCTTGTTTGGCTTCCAGAGCATTTTCCATCCCACTTGTCTTGATGGTGACGGTCTGGTTTGTGCCGCTAAAAGTGATGAAAAGACGAAAGAAGAGACTCGTCTGTGTGACCTTTTCCCAGCCCATGGCAACACGCTTGAACGACCTGGAACATAACTGCCGAGTGTCTCTTGCACAACCTTTGCTGAAATGGCACACTGGCAAGTTTTTTGTTTCATTAATCGAGTTAATCCCGAGCCGTCGGCGAGTGGTTGATTTAGAGGATTAATTTGAAATGCCATGGAGCCTCATTGGCTGGGTACGCAGCCTCAGAAAGGAAGGATGGGATGGTGTTACCTGCTGTAGAGTTGCCTTCTGGGTCAACCGCATGCACATGCAGAGAAAAAGGGAGAAACCCCCAGGACTCCCAGGCTGGAATCTGAGCTAAATCACTTTTATTTGGTGAAAGTGACACTGGCTAAGAAAAACACTCTTGTGTAGATTTCTACTGCGCGTGCATATTTTTCCTGCCCGTTCACTGACACCTTTGATGTTGACTCTGACAGTCGGTCTCCCTCATAGCTTGTTTTTAGTCCCCCCTCGGATCCTCTCTAAGTAACATCTCAGTTTGTTTAGACGTATGATGTTACATGTCTGTCCTCTTCCGTGACATCCACTTTCAAATTCCCGCTGGGATCTTGACATCTTCTCTGCAAAGTTTCCCTTCTTTTGTTTCAACTCTAAAATAACTTGATGTTCCCTGGTTTTAATTCACTCTAGTCCTTTTCTCACGGGCGCACGTCAGAGCAGAAGCGGCGCTCATCCGTCGCCACGCAGCGTGGAAACGTAAACACAAACTCATCGCTGCGCTTCCCAACTGGGATTTGACATTATTCCACAGAGAGCCAAGCTTTATTAATAGACCCCGGGATTGTCAGGGGATATCTGTGCAGGACGTGGTTATTAGCAGAGTTAGAGAGGGGATGGATGGAGAATCGGGCTGGGTGTGGTTGACAGAACCAGAATAACATCTGTGGCTGCTCTGATCCAAAGGACGGGTTGTTCTTTTCTCTTCTTTTTTCTGTCGTGTTCAGGGAGTTTCGGTTCATCCGATGATGTCGGCAGAGAGACGTGGCTCAATAGTCTAGATTAACGCGGTTTAGAAAATAAGTGCACCGTTTGGTAGTTCAACTTTTTATGTTTGTTTTGAAACGGTTGCTGGTTCAATCTGGGTTTGACCCATTGTTCAACCAATTAGCAGAGCATATCTTAAAGGCGTGCAACACTGCAAAAAAATGTTTGAACTTTTCTTCTGATTATAATGAGTCACTCTTGAGTTTTTCATGCAGGCTGATCATGACAATAGTCTCCTGCACCTATCTCCTGCTTTAGCTTCTGATAGAAAATAGACGGTGAAACTGTAGAACTAGAAAAGCCTGACAGATCTACGTCACACTGTCACTGAAAATTCATGGGCTCACCCATCTAGACTCCCGGCGGGGGAGGCTGTTGGCGTAACGTCCAGAAAGCATTTACCAGAATAAAGTAGGACCAAATAGATGTTTTAAGCCTTTGAGTCATTAATCTGGTAGAGCCCATTTTAGTCTGCATGTATGAAAGAAACTCAAATAAATTCTCTATGAAAGAGATGCTTTAATAAAAACAGACATTAGTTTGCATTTTTATCACAATATAAGATTAAAACCCTCAACGCCTCATTTTTACTTTTTCACCTTGTCGTGGACACAAGTTGTGGCTTCAGTCTGACTTACCAAGATTTTAACTCTAGTGAGTTATTTATCATAAAATGTTGTCAACTAGTCCCATCGGTGCCAAAAGTTGTAACCTTGAACTGTGTTCCTCAGAGCCGATCTCGGCATGCCCGCTCCAGAGGGAGAGCATGGACCGGGAAGAGGCCCGACTCTCCCCCCATGCCGGGGGACGTCTGATCCGGCAGCTTCTGGAGGAGGACAGTGACCCGTTGGTGTCTCCCCGCTTCTACGCCTATGGGCAGAGCCAGCAGTACCTGGACGACACCGAGGTTCCCCCCTCCCCGCCAAACGCGCACTCGTTCATCAGGTCAGCTGTTTCTTGAGGGCCGGTTGTTGGCAGAGAAAAGAAGCGTCTGTGCTTACCAGGTTGTGTGTCTGCGCAGCCGCAGACGCAGCTCGTCTCTCGGCTCCTGCGACGACGAGAGAGAGGAGCTGACCTCCGCCCAGCTCACTAAGAGGATTCATGTGCTGAAGAAGAAGATCCAGAGGTTTGAGGAGAAGTTTGAAGATGAGAGAAAATACAGGGTAGGCAGTGAAATAATATCCTTGCATTTTTGTTTTTAAATAAACTTTTTAAAAGCTCTTTTTCTCCATCCTAGCCCTCCCACAGTGATAAAGCTGGTAACCCAGAGGTGCTGCGGTGGGTCAACGAGCTGGCCGGGCTTCGGAAAGAACTCAAAGGTAAGAATAAAACATTAAAGAGAAAAACAAAAGTCTCTGATAGTTTGGGTTTACTGTAAAAGTTTTTCTCTAGATCGGAAGCTGATAAAGTCTGAGGAAGACCTGCCGCCTCTGACCCGTCAGCGCAGCAACACACTGCCCAAAAGCTTCGGCTCTCAGCTGGACAAGAAGCCTCAGCAGGAGAAGGTGCCGAAGCCCCCGGTGGAGAGCACCCTGGAGTCCACCTTAAAGAAGCTGCAGGAGAAGAGGGAGGAGGTGGACCGTCCAGAGGACATCAAGGTGAAAGCACACTTCTTATCTAGCCTGTGTCTTGAGTTGTGACACTGGAATCTGAAATATGTTGACTCACTTCCTGTCCGCTGACAGGAAATGACACGGGAGCAAATCGGAGCAGAGAAAGTGGCGCTGCAGAAAGCTCTTCTCCACTACGAGGGCATACATGGCCGACCGGTAAGTCGACTTCACTCGGAGTAAACAGACACACCTCATGTAGATACTCCGCCAACCTACAGGACCCGTCTGGGCGGGTCGATTAGGTAGTTTTATTTTAAATTTTTACGTCTTTAAGAGCAGTCTTGAGTACAAATCTGCAAACCAAATTCAGCTCCTGCCTCCAAAAGAGCGGTCGTTGAATTGTTTCCAACGACCTCCATTCTCTAAAAGCCCAGCTGCAGAGGGCCAGTGTGATAAAGTAGGATAGCTCTCGCTGCTGTTCGCGCAGCTCTGCTGGGACGACGAGACGTGTCCTAAACAGGAAGTCTTTGCTTGCTCTCCCTAAAGGTGACCAAAGGCGAGAGGGAAGTCATGAAACCGCTGTACGACCGGTACCGCCTGGTGAAGCAGATTCTGTGCAGAGCCACCACCATCCCCGTCATAGTGAGTACCACTTTAACTCCCTTCAGCACAGACGGGGCTGGCTGTGGGGACACGTGGCAGTCACGCCAGAGACTTTTAAAGCCCTAAGCTCAGCCCCATCAAAGGATTTTATAACAGAGATTTATAGGGACTGGTTTGAGTTTAAAGGAGGAAAAAGGAAGAAAATGTTGAACATTTCACCTAAAAGTAAGAATTGTTTGTTGGTAAGTGTAATGAATGGCTGGAAATACAGTTTTAAAGCTTGTGTTTCATATTAAAGATGACCGATATGGGTTTATCTGTTGCTGATACTGACAGTGGATGCACAATATTTCTAAACTTAAACAGAAATCTAGATTTTCTTCGTCAGAGGCCACCATCTAGAGGCAGAAAAGTGTATCACACCTTAAACCCTCCCTACTTCGCTTGACTACGGAAGCAACGCCACTTTGTTCACGAATGGCCACCTCTTGCCTCGGTCAAAACGGTCAAAACGGAAAACGGTCAATAGTAACAGCAGAAAACCAAAGCACAAAAAAAGTCACAGGCCAAACGCCAAGTCATAAAAACAGATCTTTAGTCGTGATTTAAAAATAGCGATGGAAGATGTCTGTCTGAGAGGGGAAGTGCATTACAGAGCACAGGGGCAGCAAACACAAAAGCCCGCTCTTTTGCTCTATAGTTCATGGTAGATGTCCAGAGTAGCAAGAGATCAGCCAACCTCAGTGCATGTACTGGTACATGGGGAGCGAGCTGGTCAGATAAATAGGTTAGGTGCGAGACCATTCAAAGCTTTAAACGCAAAGAGCAGTACCTTAAACCTCACCCTAAAGGTTACGGGAAGCCAACGAAGAAGCTCCAGAACCGGAGTGATATGACTGCATCTAATTGTGTTTGTTGGGAACCTCGCAGGCTTATTTGTCTCATTTCTGAATGGGGAACAACTCCAGATATCCCACTTTAATCAGTTTTTGAACACTGAATTTATCCAACAGCTGAGTAAGTTGATCAAACAAATCGATAAAACTGACCAAGTATTAAAGAGAAAATGTGTATGTAGTTTTACCATTAATCTCTGGAAATATCCATTGAAATGTTGCTGAAAATGAATGAAATGATGCCCAGTTTTTGAAATAAATTGGCGGTTTCATAACATATAACCATAAAATCTGTTCTAAAATACATGGGACTACGTCTACGTTTCTGGGCAACGCCATATTTTTTTCTGCGGAAGCCTGTGAGGACAAAATGAATTTACTGATTTGTAACAGTTACAAAACTCTTTGTTTTACACATTTTACCTCTTCACTTCCTGCTAGTGATGAAAGGGAATCTGACGTGTATCGGCCGATGTAAACATATATAAAAATGGTAAATATCAACCCGATATATCGGTCTATCCGTATTTTGTATCTCCTGAAACATTTAAAGTGAATATGAACACCCAGGAAACCCCGAATGTAACAAACTACCCCAAATCCTTGTCATGCAGTTACAAATATATTATGCATGGATTAACGTAGTTATCGGTCCAAAACGAAATGTTAGCATTTAGCTAACACTTCCTTTTTACCGGTCAGAATCTACATTAGAATTTCTGTTTTGTTTCTTACAAACAACCGTTCTAAAAGTAGCTTAATAAGTTGTAGACACAAACCATCTCGATTTTCTGCTCATTGTGGGAGTGAGCATGTCTCCCTGCCGTTAACTCCTCCTCCTCCTCCTTCTCGACCGTCACTGCAGGGCTCCCCCTCCAGCAAGCGCAGAGGTCCCCTCCTTCAGCCCATTATCGAGGGTGAAACTGCGCTCTTCTTCGATGATATCAAGGTGAAGAGGTGCTGCTGATGCTGCTGCTTGGTTAATTAAGGCTTCCTGAACCCGGCCCTTCTCCTCTTCCTCCTCCTCCTTCCTACTCCTGATCCACTACCATCCTCCCTCTAACCCAGCTGATCGGTGCCTGTTGATTGGGCGGCGGCCTGCAGCTTCTGTAGCGCTGTTGAATCAGTAGCTGTGGATGTGTGAAACCACTGTGATGCTGTTTTATGAGTTAGGCAGTTAGGTTATCATCGGGTAGGGTTGAGCCATCCAGTTCGAAATCAGTAAAATAAACGAAGTCATACTTTTAATGATGATTCATAACCACTGTGGACTAACACTGCATGATCTTCGGTGTTGAGGCCAGAAGTTGTCTTTATTTAACCCCTTATGCGCCACGTGTATCCTCTTTAATCCTGGGGTGTTTTATTTTTATTTGTCCACAGGAGGAGGAGGACGGCTCAGAGGACGATGGGGACACAAAGACCCAGTTCAATGTGTCGGTTCGGCCCGAGCTTGGAGTGTTCAGCTTCATGGACCCCATGGACGAGGAGGTGGACGGTTTTATTTCACCCGTGGATGAACTGTCACCCTCCAAAACCACAGCAGACATGGGACTGTCCAACCTGCACTCGGCCTCCATGTGAGTGAATGAAATCTTCACTCATTAACACCGTTTGATGCATTTATCATACAGCTGGTGCTTTTTGATTAAAGACCAAGTTCACTGACAAACAGTTTTTTTTTACATGAAATTTTCAAAACACAATTAGTCACTCTGAGTTTAACATGCAGGCTAAATGAGAAAGTATTCACCTACCCCAATTTCCTGCATCAGCCAGGGAAATGTTCGGATTAGAAAAGCCAGTCAGATCTACCTCACGCTGAAAATTAACATTCATGGACTCGTCCATCTTGACGGGGAAAGCTGTTATTGATTTAGCATCCAGGAGAGAGCAGAGCACGTCTCAGCTAGCAGAAGCTAATCATTAGCATTAGCAACTCCACAACATGGCAGAATTCTTTTGAACTTGTGTGATGTGTGGAGATAAAACATCAGTGTTGCAAAGCGAACAATCAGTGGTAGAGCCATGTTGCTGTTAAGTCTTTTAAGTCTTGGTCACAAATGGCCCTCTGGTCACACTTTGTTCATGCCTGTCAGTTAATCATATATGGCCATTTTATAGTGTCATTATTTGATTATCAAACCTAAATTGTTAGAATTGATTAACGCCATAACAGAGACCACGTTTTGCCGTCGATTTGGGTCTTCACCTCCTTCCAAGAGAACGAACATTTTCCTCCCCTCCCCCCTTTTATTGGCCGGTCAAAATGTATAATCATGTTGCGCAACGTAGCAGTAAAGAGAGCAGTCATGCTTTAAATCCACGCATTTAGATTGTGGATATATATGTTGTGGAAGAAATGACCGAAACTCAAAAGGCAGATAATATTCTCTTGACTAGGAAGCTTTAACGTGAAATGAGATGTTTACCCGTTCCCTGCTCTCTCCATCACAGGGAGGAACTGGTGGAGCAGCTTCAGGAGACAAAAGAGGAGAAGAAAAGGATCCGTAAGAGCCTGAAGGAGTTTGAGGACCAGTTCTTTAGACAAAACGGGAGGTGAGAGGATGCTGCGTTTTCTACATGAAGGAGAATTTCTCCTACATCAAAAGTTTTCCAGCTCTTGATATCTGCTTTATTTTTGACAGGACCGTCCAAAAGGAGGACCGCTCCCCGCTGGCAGACGAATACCACGAATACAAGCACGTTAAGGCCAAGCTGCGGCTGCTGGAGGTCCTCATCAGCAAAAGAGATGCCACCAAGTTCATCTGAACATAAGATGGAGTAGTTGGACTGGTGCTCGGACTCCAGCGATGAAGTCAAACACATCTCGCCCTGTTGGAACAAACTGGGATCAACATGCTGCTCTGGGAACAGCACACACAGTTCCATCTGTCCTGTTATGATTTAAAAAAAAAAGCCACACACCACCTGAGAGCTGCCTCTCCCTCGGACCTCACCTCCGCATCTGGATGTTCCTCCAGACAACGTCATGCGTACGCACAAATCACCTGTATAATTTATTTTAACAATTTAAAAAGAGTATTTTTCTTTTAACTTTAGAGATGAAAAAAGAAAAACAGTAAGACCAACTGTAGTTGAAAAAATATTTTTTTGAAGGATTTTGTGATGAAGATGTGTATTTATGTGTGTTTTTCTAAGGGAGATGTCACCGTTTGTGTCCGTTTGAGTAAACGAATAGCGCTTTAATGATTTCAGTTTGGACCATTATGAGTTACATTTCTTCAGAGGTTTCAGCAAAAGCAAAAAACAAATGGTTTCCTCCTTCACTACAGCCTGAAGTCAGCAGCTCAGAGCAAACCAAATCCTGCCTTTAGCTGTATATTCTAAACGTTGGCATGCTTCGTGTCTACACTTGTGTCAGATAAGCTAATCTTTAAATCACTAGTAGGTGTTTGCACACACTGATTATCACAGACAAGCAGAGGTGCTGCTTCCAGTGTGTGTGTGAATCTGTAAATATGGATCAATGAGTATGTTTGCATTTCTGTGAGCGAGTACTTTTCTCCTTTCTTTCTCCAAAATGGATGATTTATATCTGTGTGAATTTTGTTTTCACCTAAAACGCTGGCCAGGTTTCATGAATCTCGAGTGTGTACATTTTAGTACATAAATTGTATTTTGTATATAACATGCAATAAATCTTATTTTTACTGAAGTTTCTGTGCTTTAGCCTTTGTGGTTTGAAGTTAAGAAATGTCCCTCTTCACATGCAATAAGTAATCTTATTATATTTGAGTAATGATAAAATATTAGCAAGCTTCTTTGAGGAAGAACAGCTCCGATCTGAAATATTGTGGTGCAGGCACGTCGGTGTCCTCGGACAGTAAAATAAAAATGTTACGATTTATGCAAAAGCAAAGGATTTGTATTAAAGGCTCAGAAAATCTAAGAATTAAAATAATTTACCTCTGGGTAAATACAGCAAACTGTGCTTCCCTACCTAGGGTCCTTGGGCCCCAAGGGGGTTCCCACAATTTTCTCTGTGATGAGGTAGTGAGGTTACCAAAAATATTGGTGAAAATTGTAATAATAAATTCCCAACAACACACCCAATAGTATAATCAAACCTCTATAAGAGTTATAACTATATGTCAGCATAAAGTTTAGGAGATGGGGTTGGGGCAGGGCCGGACCAAGCCTTGGAGGGGCCCTAAGCTGGTTTTCCCATGAGTGTTATTTTGTGGTATATTACTTAAAACTATTTGAAAGAAATATCAGCAGAAAAACACTGAATTTACATAAAACAAGCTAAGTTTACTATTTTTGTTCTTAAAATTTGGAACAGATGTGAATAAAATGTGCAGTCACTACAAAATAAATCCAAAGAGCACTAGATAAATGACACTATACAAAATAATTTATTTCTCTAGGTTTGATATCATTTAGTTTATATTATTTAGAGTTATTTTAACTGAGGTCCTGCCTCAAGTGGAGGAGTTTAAGTGTCTCGGGGTCTTGTTCATGAGTGATGGAGCGCAAGATCGACAGGCGGATTCTAAAACTTTCACATTTTTCTTTAAATGTTCAAAAACAAAATATGAATTTTTATTGATGCACACCTAGTTGAATAAAATCAATATTTGGAAAACAGGTTAAATAAAACGATGCAGAGGATGAACACAAAACTTTTCCTTATTAAAGACAGCTCAGAGGGACCTGAGGTCAGAGGTCAGGTCAGACACAAAAACAGTGACATCACAGAGGTGAGCATACATTTGAATGCATCATCTGGCAGCAAAAACATGAAGAAGAAGAAAATATCATTTCTATAGCGCCTCTCAAGATAAAAATCACGAGGCACTTCATCACAAAAACAAAAAATGTAAAAATATACAAAATAATTTATAAAATGGTTAAAAGTATATTTAAAATGAGCAAAAATAGACAATTGTGATTTAAAAAATGTAAAGAAAGAGAGAGAGTGAACAGGAAAGAGGGAAATCATTGGATCCTGAGGAAGGTGGAATAGGTGGGGAGAGCAGAATAAAGAGAGAGTAGTGAAGAAGGTCATACAAAAGCCAGCTTGAACAAGTGAGTCTTCAGCTGCTTTTTTAAAAGAGACCACTGAGTCCACTGATCTCAGGCTCAGGGGGAGAGAAGTCCAGAGCCTGGGGGCCACAGCAGCAAATGATCTGTCACCTTTGGTCTTTAGCCTGGTGCTGCACAACCAGTAGGCTTTGATCACTGGACCTCAGGGACCTGCTGGGGGTGTAGGGACTAAGAAGATCACCAATGTAAGATGGTGCTTGTCCATGTAAGGCCCTATAGACCAGAACCAGGATCTTTAAATGAACCCTGAAGTTGACTGGCAGCCAGTGAAGCTGGAGGAGAAGCGGGGTGATGTGGGTGTATTTGGAGGACTTGGTCAGAAGCCGAGCACAGGCGTTCTGAACCACCTGTAGACGGTTCAGGGAGGTTCTGCTCAGACACGTGAAAAGAGAGTTAAAGTAGTCTAAGCGTGAGGAGATGAAGGTGTGGAGAACTGTCTCAAGTTCAGAGCGAGACAGAATGGGACTCCGCTTAGCAATGTTCCTGAGATGGAAGAAGGAAAAGCGAACAAGAGAACTGACATGAGAATCCAGGGTGAGAGCTGGGTCAAAGGTCACGCCAAGATTCCTGACAGAAGGTTTGGTGTGAGAAGCAAGCTGACCAAGAGAGTCTCTGACTTTGGGAACCAGCTTGTCTGGGGCACAGATGAGGATCTCAGTCTTATCTTCATTCAGCTGAAGAAAGCTCCCAGCCATCCAGGTTTTGATAGAGTCTAAGCAGGTGTGTAACAGCTGCAGCTTAGACATCTCATGGGGCTTAAAGGAGATGTACAATTGGATGTCATCTGCATAAAGATGGTAGGAGATTCCTTTGAAGGAGGTCAGGGTGTGCTGAAGAGGAAGCAGATAGAGGAGGAAGAGCAGAGGCACCAGCACAGAACCTTGTGGGACACCCTGGGTAAGAGAGGTGGTGGAGGACCTAAACTTGGAGACGGCCACAGAAAAGGAGCGCTCAGAAAGATAAGAGGAGAACCACTCCAGAGCAGTTCCTGATAGGCTCACCCAGTCTCTCAGACTCTCCAGTAGCAGGTGATGGTCAACAGTGTCAAAGGCTGCAGTCAGGTCCAGCAGGACCAGAACAGAACAGTCCCCTGCATCACTGTGAGTCAGAAGGTCATTAGAGACCCTAAGAAGAGCTGTTTCAGTAGAATGAGCTCTACGAAAACCTGAAGCAATCATAGATGTTACGTTCATCAAGAGCAGCTGTGAGTTGTTTAGCCACAACCTTTTCCAAGATCTTGGAGATGAACGGAAGCTTAGAGATGGGTCTGAAGCTGCTATGGAGAGAGGGGTCGAGACTCGGTTTTTTAAGAAGAGGGTGGATTACAGCGTTCTTAAAGTAAGCAGGGACCTGACTAGAAACCAGAGAAGCATTAATTATAGAGAGCACGCTGGGACTGATGGACTGAAAAGCTCTTTTAAACAAAGATGAGGGTAAGATGTCGAGGAGGCATGTAGAGGTCTTCATAGAGTTAACTAGTTTGGTTAACTCAGGCAAAGAAACAGGAGCAAAGCTATCTAGGATGATGGGCCTGGTTGGAGTCGGGAGAGGCAGCGATAAGGCTGAAGGAGAGATGCTAGATCTGACCTTATTGACTTTTTCCACAAAGAAAGACAGAAAGTTCTCACAGTCTGCATCAGAGTGGATGGAGGCTGTAGGAGAGGCAGGAGAGACGATGCTGCTGATGGTGTTAAACAGCACCTTGGGGTTCCCTTTGCTCTGGGACACCAGGTTGGAAAAATAGGAAAACCTGGCATCTCTGATTGCAGAGTTAAAGGATGTCAGAAGATCCTTTAGGCGCAGCAGATGGACGTGGAGATGGGTTTTCTTCCACAAGCGCTCAATTTTTCTGCATTGACGCTTCAGGCTGCGAAGGCTGTCATTTAACCAGGGAGTAGGGTTCACTGCAGGAACTGATCTGGTTCTGACAGGACAGATGTTGTCCAGAATGGAGAGGCAGTGCTCGTTAAACTGAGAAGTTAAGGAATCTGGGTCGTTATCAGAAGAACAGGGTGGATCAAAAGCAGCAGAAAAATTGCTAGCTGTGCTCTCATTAAGAAAACGAGAACTAACCATACGGCGAGCTGGAGGTGGGGACGCAGAAACTGACAAGTTAAAGAAAATGCAATGGTGATCTGAAATATAAACGTCCTCAGGACAAACACTGTCAGCATTTAGACTCAGGGTAAAAACAAGGTCCAGAGTGTGTCCCCTTGTGTGTCACCAACAATCACCAGTCTGGACAGCTTCACAGTGGAGGATAGAAAGTCACTAAAGTCCTGAAGGAAAGAACTGTGCGAGTCAATTTTAAAGGTTGTGGAACACTCGCTTAATAAAAAAACTTTGCAGTGGTCTCTAGAAGGACTGAATGCCTTGTAAGTCGTACTCGGGGGGTGGCAACACCGGTGTACCGTTACCAGGGACTAGAAGTCACCCACAGCTGAGCTTCAGACGGCATGTTAGGGAGCCTTATCTGATTTTTGGACAGCTCGCCTCAGATTGGCTAACACCAACACAACACTACCACTTACTTGCAACACTGATGTTTTATCTCCGTACATAACACAAGCCTGGAGGAGTTCTGCTGTGTGGTGAAGTTGCTAACGCCATCTTTTACTAGCCGATGTGGTTTCCTGGGCACTAAACCACCAACAGCCTTCTCCGTCGCAAGTAAAGATGGTTAAGTCCATGAATGTTAAGTGTAACTTAGATCTGTCAAGATTTTCAAATCCTAGTTTCACCGGCTATTTTCTATCAAAAGCTAATGTAGGAGATAGGTGTAGATTATTTTCATGTTCAGCCTGCACAAAAAACCATCATAATCAGAAATAAGATTTCTAAAATGGCTTTCCACAGAAACTCTGAGTCTAAAAAATCCTGGATTGGAATAAAATCTTATAATTTCTTCAAATAAAAGGTGGTTTCTCTGATAATAATCTATTTTTTATTTGCCATGTTTTGAGAATGTCACAAATATAAATAGAAGCCTGGTAGATGTGCACGCAGGTGTGGGGATGCAAAAGAAGAAAAAAGTCCAGAAGAACCAGATGCAAAGAGGGATTGACGGCTGTCTGACTTGTCTGGTTGAGCTGAAGAAATGAGATCAAAGAAAAGCCTAAAAGATAAAAGAAAAACTAGAAATACCAACTGGTTTGCTTTTGCTGTGACAAACTGAAGAGTAGACATTAAGGGCCTTTTTATCGATGTTTAAATTAAATCGAGGTAAATTTCTAGGCGTACAGAAAAGCCTGTGGTGTCTTTGAATACAAAAGACAGAACGTTCCATCTTGTGTTTCTCATCAGTTTAGGCGACTTTCCACAACACTGGACACCACCAGTCAAAGCTGGGTTATTAAAGCAGCCACAGCTAAGGCTACAGGTTTCTCTGATGTCCGTGTGACTGAGATCCACTGTTAACAGAGAAATAAGGTCACAAATTAGGCAGAAAGTTTGTTTATTCCAATGTATTTTATTTAAAATCTTGGCTGGAACAGAGAACTTTGTTTTTATTTGTAATAATTACACAAGAAAAAAAATGCTCTAGCACATAAAAAGGTGCAGAAAAGTCAAGGGCTGCACAAACCTTTGCATAGGACTAAACTCTGTAGGAGAAATCAGCCTGACATGAAGAAAAAGACAGAAATGTTGTCTACATGCAGTATAGCGTGAAGGGTCGGTCCTCAGAAGGCTCCAGCGTTTCACCCAGAGTTTTTTTTCTTCTTTTTTTTCTCATTACTGGGCTGCTTTAGGTTGTTATTGCTGAATGGATCATCAGGTGTGTGAAGTCACTTCAACACCACTACCAAGAGTTATAAATGCAAGACGACTTCACACGATTCAATGCACGACCAACACTTTGTAGTAAGAGGTTCAGCTTAAAGAGTAAATACAGCATCAGGGCAGGTTCTGGAACAAGTAATATCAGATTTATAATAGAAGCTAATATGTATTTCATCAACCCACATAGTTAAAATATGCATTTATTCAAATATAAAAAAGAGTTACCCTCTAATTTGTGGTACAGTGGATAATAGTTACAATCATCGATGATACTGTTTTTATATGTTCTGTTTTATGTGACATTTAAAGGACACACTTTATGTTTTATTACCTTTTTAGTGACGTTTCTGAGGTCACAGCTAGCTTAAGACAATAACAGGAAAATGGTTGTGTTTTTGTTGGTTTCGTTCTGGTTTTCAGGCTTTTGTCTGATAAGGAGACAACTCCAGTATGAGGGCATTTGTTACTAGTCTTTGATTTTCTGAGGAAAATCAAGCTGTATTTTCTCACTGACCAGATTTTCTAAAACTAAGGTCCTATGAAGGCTAATAAATCAAATTTCACAAAAAGAAATCCACTTCAGTGTGGCTAGCCGTTAGCCTGTCAATCTAATCAGAAATAATCAATTTCTTCAAACCAAGATTGTTTAAGTGACTTTCAAAAACATAAGATCCAGAAACTTTCCACAGAAACCCACTAGAAAGGATGTGAACCATACCTTTAACGGTAATTTAACTGGAACCTTGGAGATGGTGGGTGAAGCTAGGACTCGTTTACTTCAGGCCCTGGTCTGTTAGAATTAGCCTGATGTTTCTTCTCTTCTAACCTACTAGAAATGGAATCACTGGAATTGAAAGAAAAAACAATCTAGCTTTAGCTTTCACCCAACAACATGCATACGGGTCCCGGCAAGCAACTCTGAACGTTAACTTCAGGTCTTTACAGTAGGTTTAGTTGTAGAAGGCAACGCTGTTGAATGCAGGTTAAAGAGCTAAACGGCAGGAATCACACACTCCGTACATGTTGCCCTGAAGCCTTCCTCGGCCTGCCAAAAACAATCGTCCCTTCTTTTTTTATACACAACAAAAATATAAACGCAACACCTTTGTTTCTGCTCTGATTTTTCATGAGATGGACTTAAAGATCTAAAATTCATTCCAGATACACAATATTACCATTTCTCTCAAACATTGTTCACAAATCAGTCTAAATGTGTGATAGTGAGCACCTGTGCTTTGCTGAGATAATCCATTCCACCTCACAGGTGTGCCACATCAAGATGCTGATCTGACATCATGATTAGTGCACAGGTGCACCTTATACTGCCCACAATAAAAGGCCACCCTGGAATGTGCAGTTTTTTGCCTTATTGGGGGTCTGGGGACTCAGAACCGGTCTGGGATGGATTATCTCAGCAAAGCACAGGTGCTCACTATCACACATTTAGACTGATTTGTGAACAATGTTTGAGAGAAATGGTAATATTGTGTATCTGGAATGAATTTTAGATCTTTAAGTCCATCTCATGAAAAATCAGAGCAGAAACAAAGGTGTTGCGTTTATATTTTTGTTGAGTGTATAATCAGGGAGGAAGGACATGCTTAAGTCCAGATTTAAAAGGATCAGCGAGACTAAACTCCCCTCCAAACATAAGGAGCAGAGATTAAAGTCCTATTTACACAAATCTATACATGTTTGTCAAAATATAAAACCCTCTGTTTAATAAATTAAAAATAACCAAAAGCAATATATTGTGTCAGGGCAACAACAAAATAAATTTAAAGGTGAAAAATAGAATTTAAGGAATATAAAATACACAATTTTACGAAACAATTTTTTTTAAAGAAGTCAAAAGAAAACAACAACAAAATCGATGCAAACACCCAGAAGTCAAAGTTTCTCAATCTTCTCAAATGTTTTCTGATGTCAGGTCATCTTCACCAGTGACCTCCGTGTGTCCAGAGCAGTGTTACCTTCAGACAGACACACACACTGGGATGTTGGGCGGGGTGTATTGCAGTTAAAGTGCATTGAAGCTCCTCTCAGATGCCCCTCAGACCAGGCTGAAGCCCTCGTATTGCTCCACGGCCTGAGTCAGACGGCGACGCAGGATCTCTTTGGTCTGGTAGCGGGGCATGTCCAGGAGGTTGTAGCAGGTGTGGGCCACCGGCAGGTAATGCTCCTCGGCCGTGGTGGACTGGATGACGATACGCAAGCTCTCCATTCCATGGATGGGGATACGGTCACTGCCGGTGAGGAACACTGCAGCCCAAAGACAACATGCTGGATTAAAAACCAACAGCCACAGAAAAGAAAGTCTCTAAAACTAAATGTGACTTCTGTGCATCTTTGGTTCTAAACGTTCATGCAGATGGGGCGATGAGTCCATTAAAAGCTTACGTAAGAACTGCTTCTTCTTTTCCAAGGAAAATTCGTGGAAAACCTCCCAGAACAATCTGACTGTTGGGTGAGTCGCTGAGAACTCTCCTTTGTAAACAGCGTTCTGCAGAAGGAACAAAAAACACAATATAACATGGTGAACAAATTTTTATGCAACATCTAGCAAGAATCAAAACATGAGGTGGTTTGTTTTTCCCCCTCTTGACTCATGAGCAACACATTTTCCCTCAGTCAGAAGTTTGGAGGTTGATACCACGAACAGTGACATCAGCGGCTGCTAATGATGCACACACTCCGCCTGCACACGAGGACATCACACAGCAGGACGCTACAGGAACGTTTTAATTATTCAACAGGTCAAATATGAATAAGTTAAAGCAAAAAAAAAAAAAATACAAATTTTAAAACCTTTTAACTTAAATAATAGTTGGTTTTAGAATATGTTTGATTTTGTATTTACTCCAAAGGAGGCAAACACTAATAATAATTAGTAATTATTTTGGGCATTTAAGTTTGTTACATTTAAAATGTACTGCATTAAAGCTACAATCCAAAGTTATTATCTAGAGATACGCTTTTAAAAATAAAAACCTAAACGGTAAACGGCTTGCATTTGTACAGTGCCTTCTAGGTTTTTACAACCCCCCAAGGCACTTTACAACACATCCAGTCATTTACCCAGTCAGCCCCCGATGGTGATGAGCTACATTGTAACCACATCTGCCCTGGGGCACACTGACCGAAGTGAGGCTGCCAAACACTCATGCCACTGGTTCTTCCAACCTCCACCAACGGGCAAGATGGGTTAAGTGTCTTGCCCAAGCCCAAGGACACAAGTATGACAGACTGAGCAGGACTTGATCCCGCAACCCTCCGGTTACGAGACGTTATGAGAAGTTAAACAAGTGGACAGAAAATCTTTTTATTTAATAACTTCCGTCGACCCACCCGACATTTGACAAAGAATTTCACCCTGCTACCTGGCGTGTACTTAAAGGTACACTTGTTGTAGTTTTAGCTTAGTTTTAGCACCCCCTAGAGTCCGTTATTAATTCACTGATGTAAAACCAAAAGAGAAACTCTTCTCGCTGTGTGTTTGTCTTTTTAACACCTTAATCTAACATCTGGAATGTCTCCTCAGCCTTCATTAGTGTCTACAGGAGTTATTCAATACTAAAGCTGGGCGGACACTGTGCGACTTTTTCCACTCGTAGCGTTCAGCTTCAGCTCAAACTGTACGACTTCCTCACAGGGCAGATCTCATGAGTCATGCGCTCACACTGTACGACCCAGTTCTTGGATGGGACCTGACTGCTCACACTGTATGTCTGGTAGCAACACGTCGGACCTAAAAATATGCTAAAATTAGCAGTTTTTACACAACACGTCAACTTTTTTGTCTTGCCTGTTGTCCTTCGGGAGTGCTGCAGGAGGACACACAGGGATTTATGGGGGTTGGATGTGTTTTGTGATCAGTTTAATTTGACATGAACACGACAAACACGCTTTCCTGACAATCTTTGTGAGTAAAAAAACGTGTAGAAATAAAAACGAACACCTTGTGTTATTAGGGAAATAGCGGGGAGCGGTGTTGATGCAGGATTGCGCATGCGCCGTGAGCGGTTCTGGTACTTTTTGCGTCGCAGCTGCTCGCAGCGCCGCTTCAACCCTCATGAGGAACGGGCAAAATATCAAACACTCCAGAAGTCCGTGCGAGCTCACGATTGCTGATCACAGTAGCTGGTCACGTGGTGTTAATCACCTCTCGTAACCTCCGTACACTACACGACGCTCAGCGCAAAACTCACCCCGATCTTCTGGATTCTCGCACGAGTGGAAAATTCGCTCAAAAAAGTTGCACAGTGTACGGCCGGCTTAAATCAATCATATCAGCTGTGCTCATGATCTAAAACATGCAAGAAATGTGCTTGAAACAGACTCCAGTGCTACCATTTCAGCTCCATATTACTAAGACCAACAGGGGTTGGCCCGGATACTCTGAAGTTGCAAGTGTGGTATTCTGGCTGCACATGGCAGGGAGGTCTGAATGGTAATTCATTAATCCTGTAAAGGGTCATTTTAGCACACACTGGCTCAAGAAAATTATTTAAAAACTGAAAAAGTTGCATAGTGGGCCTTTAAGCTCTTAATTAATAAGAGGGTCTTAAATTCACCAAACTAATCAAAACAGTTCCAAATACAAAATCCATTACAGATTAATACACCAAGCTTTAGTAAATTCTTTGAGATTTGAAGAAACACAAGAATGGATAAAAAATAAAGATTTCCAAGAGAACAAAAAACAAAAAAAACAAACAAAAAAAAAACCCATCCACAACAACCTTTAACACTATTATAAACACATCACAGCTGACAAACGCGCTGCTGAGCTTCAAACATCCAACTGACCTTCTCCATCTCCTCCCAGTTATAATTGTTGTTGCCAACCACCATGGCCATCAGCTCAGAGGGCTGGAACAGCGCCAGAATCTCCCCCCCGCACACCTTCAGGAAACCGGAGGAGAAGGCAGAGTACTGCTCGGACACAGAGTCCGTGAACACGTAGCGCAGGTAGGCCTCCACAAACTCCTTCCTGAAACGCACGAACACAGACAACAAGTAACTCATCAGGTGGTCAATTAGCTCCACGCAGCAGCTGCATCCTCAGACACCACGCAGACTGTAAACACTCACTTCCTCTCCCATTGTGTCTGCGTGTGCGTCTCCACATTGTTTCAATGTTTAGTTCATCTAATGCCTCTCCATTTAGTCTGAGCTCAATCTGCTTATATGTCAGGGAGGTCTCTCTGCACCATTAGCCCCATCAAAGCCGTGGTTTACCTGCACCACTGGTTATGTCCAATCATCAAACCAATACTTGTGTTTTCAAAGGTTTGGACTTGAAAAGTCGCCAAGTTTAATTGATACGGTGGAGTTAAAAGTAAACCTTTTTGTAAACATAATCATTAGCTCTATTAAGGTGTTTAACTGCTGCTTTGACGAAAATGCTCCCATCTGATCATCTGAAACAAATTTCTGAGCAATTAGGACATTTTAAGGTACTGAATAACATTTTCAAACAACAAAAAGAAGAAATTAAAGGGACTTTACGGAGTTTTGAATTTTTATGCTCGCGATTGCCCCGTCAGGCCAAAAGCGTAAAGGCAACTTCAATAGTAGGCTCGTGCACGAGGCGCGCATGCTGTACGTGCACACTCCTTAACGAAAATAACAGCTGAGACAGTCCCGTGTGTGTGTGGCCCGGAGGACAGACAGGAGAACGCGCAGCTAATTAATTAAATAATTTGGTTCTGTACCTTTCTCTTCAGCACAGCCGACAAAGGTTTATGATGGGTCAGTCCTCCTGCATGCTCAGATCATGCCCTTCCCTTGCTTTTAAAATTGTTCCAAAATGAAAGTTGAACCCACATCTTTATCTGTGAATTCAATGCCGTTCGGCGAGTCTCAAATGAGAATTTGGGCATCTTACTGTAAAAAAATATATCATTAATGTAAAAAATCAACTCTAAATAAACTATGTTCACATCCAGAAATGAACCCGGTTCTTCCGCACGACAGTCCGCCGTTTTACTAGGTGAGCTAAAGCACCAATGACGTCTTTTGCATCTGTAATGTTTATATCCTTGATGACAGCTGAAACAACGTTCAAAGAACGGTTCGGAGCGAAAATGGCTATTTTGTTGCTAATTTGCAGAAAATATCTAGAAGAAAGTAGCTAAGGGTCCTCAGAAATGCAGCTAGGTTCATCACTAGGCGTTAGGAACAGCGACAAAGTCGCTGAGTTGGCACTACCTCACTCTCTGCTGCTAAAGCTACTGATAGCAAATGCTACGAGCTATGCCTGAGCGTGAACACGCATGAAGCAGCCTGCTCGACCCGATCATCTCTCTTTTTCTGAGATTTTACAGAAAAACAGGCAATCTCAGTAAAAAATACCAGGGCTCATTCTACAGGACGAGGCCATTGCAGGAGAATGTATGAAGAAGAAATGTATTATTTCTATACATGTTTTGGCTGTCAAACTTCCATAATGCCCCTTTAAGTATTATAGATGTTAACAAGAGGGGAAAACAAACACGTACTGCAGCAATCATAGTTCTGGACACACCTAACGTTTCAAAATCAGTGTTTAGGTGTGTCCAGTCTTTTGTCTGTCGTTCCATAAACATCCTGTAGTCTAAAACAAAAGGTCTAAATTCCTCCGGAGGGCGAGACACTGCTGTCTGAGCCTTTAATAATTCATTTCACTCAAACCTTTTGGGAAACACATCATGTTGGGTTTCCTCTTCATATGTATTTTTAAAATCCAAGGATTTTTTCTTTTATTTTTTTTTAACTAATATCAAAACAGAAAACATGAATGGCTTATTTATAATTACAAGGCTTAATCTGCCTTTATTTGTCCAAAATAAGAATTTTTATTTTTTACCAAAGTCCTTAAGTATTTCTTAAGTTCACTGTGACTTCTTATTGACTGGTCTTCCTTAAACTGAGATGAACATCAGAGTCAAATTGAAGAAGTTCCCTCTAGAGGTCACTTCTATAAAATACAAGATGTAAGGTTACCTGGTAAAGCTGGAAGAAAAGAAGCAACAAAGAAGTGAAGAGAGCTGCAGAGACAAGTCAGCACATAAAACTGAAATTGTTTTACAAATGATGTCAAAACAAACAAGTGCTTGGACTTTTAAAAAGTTAAAAAGACACAAAACACCCAGTCTGACCTTGATCCTCAATAAAGAATCAGAAGAACAGAGGGTAGATTTTTATCTCTATTATTTCCACGAGAGGGTTTTAGAGAAACAGCTGATGTGGTTTTTCACCATCTGGTCACCACAAGCTGCCAGACATGCAGACGTCGTCAGGCCTGCAGATCTCAGAGGACTCCTCCACAGAACACAAGAATGAGCCCAGAGCATGGAGCGGTTGTGAGGAGAAAACAAAGTGCCACCTGGGTTCAGCACAGATCATTGATTTTTACTTAAATTAGAGCAACACGGGTTGTCTGCTGCACAGGGACGTGGCCGTCTCAACAAATCATCAATAATAAATCCTACAATTATCTGATTTGTCTTTAATATGAACACTTAACTCTGAAAGTCCAAAGGGCCAACAAACCCTAGGAAACAGTTTTACGGTTTTACCAGCTGTGAGTCAAACATGCAGAATCTCAAGTTTACTGATGACCTTTTATGATTTTTGGTGGAGATGTTTTACATCAGCTTTTTTATCAATATCCTGGCAAGCCATCCTATGTATGCGAGTATATAGTCTGGCCCAGACTCATAGACAGAGTTCAGGTGGTGGAATCTATATTTGTCTTTCAAACTGCCTTTGCATGCTATTGGACAAGGAAGAACGAGACATACTCACAGCTACAGATGCCAGTCAACGGGGCAGTAAGTACCTCTATCTGCTCTCGACTCAAAGAAAAGCCCAAGTCTAAATAGTCCAAAGCTGAAGCCATTTCAAATGCAATAACGTCATCTTAGTCGTTCCTCTCCATTGCATCATCCCTCCTACCAAACTGATAGAGCGAGGTAATTGGCATAACACAAAACTGCTTAGGTCAGTGGTAGACCTGCTGAGGCTCCTATGAAGCGTAGCTAGACCAACATGCATACCAAAATATTTCTGCTGCTACTACGGACTGTCTAGATCTCTAGGTTAATGCACCAATATAGTTGGTGTGCAGTATGGGCTGCATGGTGGCGCAGTGGTTAGCACTGTTGCCTCGCAGCACGAAGGTTGCAGGTTCGAAACTCGGCTGCGGCCTTTCTGCGTGGAGTTGCATGTTCTCCCCATGCATGCGTAGGTTTCCTCCGGGTGCTCCGGTTTCCCCCACAGATCACAACATGCCTTATAGGTTATAAATTGTAAGTCGCTTTGGATAAAAGCGTCTGCTAAATGAATAAACATAAACATACACAAGTATAGTTAAACTATTAAATTCCAACAATATAATCAAATATATTCAGGGTCTCCGTCCTAATACAAAATAAGAACCTAAATCATTTTAGGAATCCAACATCCCTAATTTTAGGTGAATCCAAAAGAGAACTCTGATTTATGAAGAGGATATGTTGTAATTTATAAACAACATGATGAAAACTGTTTAAATTCATATAAAAAAACATATCGGCTGATGTTTGTAGCTTTAAAGTGACAATGTATTTTTCCTGGCGATGGAGAGGCAGTACATACCTAAATCATTACAAGAAAGCAGTATTTTTGTGTTTGAGTAAGACCTTATCAACGGATGGCCATTAGGGTCAAAAATCCCTGGGAGTGCAACCTCCAGCGAAACGACAAGACTCTCTGCACTATGCGTTTGGGTCTGCCAGGTCTACGTGGCATCTTCCCCTGCCAACTGATCCAACTCACCACCAGGTGGTGATCAGTTGACAGCTCCGCTCCTCTCTTCACTCGGGTGTCCAAAACATACTGTACCGCCGCAGGTCAGATGATACAACTACAAAGTCTATCATCGACCTGCGACCTAGGCTGCCCTGGTACCAAGTGTACCCATGGGCATCCTTATGTTCGAACATGGTGTTCGTTATGGCCAAACTGCGGCTTGCACAGAAGTCCAATAACGAAACACCACTCGAGTTCAGATCAGGCGGGCCGTTCCTCCCAATCACACCGCTCCAGGTCATGCCGTCATTGCCCACGTGAGCATTGAAGTCCCCCAGCAGGACAATGGAGTCCCCTGATGGAGCACTATCTAGCACTCGTCCCAGGGACTCCAAAAAGGGTGGGTACTCTGAACTGATATTTGGCCCATAAGCACAAACAACAGTCAGGACCCGTTCCCCGACCCGAAGGCGCAGGGAAGCTACCCTCTCGTCCCCCGGGGTAAACCCCAACACGCAGGCAGAGAGTCTTGGGGCTAGCAAAAAGCCAACCCCAGCCCTCCGCCTCTCACCCGGAGCAACTCCAGCAAAGGAGAGTGTCCAACCCCTCTCAAGGACTTGGGTTCCAGAGCCAATGCTATGTGTCGAGGTGAGTCCGACTATATCTAGCCGGTGCTCCTTCCCCGCCAGCGAGGTGACGTTCCATGTCCCAAAAACCAGTTTTCTTGTCCGGGGATCGGACCGCCAAGGCTCCCGCTTTGGTCTGCCACCCGATCCACATTGCACCGGACCCTTCATGTTCCTCCTGCGGGTGGTGGGTCCACAGTTGGATGACCCCATGTATCCGGTTCGGGCTGGGCCCGGCCGGGCCCCATGGGCGAAAGCCCGGCCACCAAGCGCTCGCTCACGGGCCCCAACCCCAGGCCTGGCTCCAGGGTGGGACCCCTAGTAACCCTCCGGGCCGGGTACTCCGACTCTTTGAAATTACATCCATGAAAGATCCTGTGAACCGTTCTTTGTCTCACCCTTCACCTGAGACCAATTTGTCATGGGAGACCCTACCAGGGGCACAAAGTGCCCCAGACAACATAGCTCCTAGGATCATTAGGGCACTCAAACTCCTCCACCACGATAATGTAACGGTTCAAGGAGGAAGTTTAAAAGTAAGTCAGCTAATTTAAAATGTTTTTTTTTAGATCCAAAGAAGTTATCTATTGCTGGTTAGTTGCGTATTAGTTGCAGCTTCGGTGGCTAGCGGGTAGTAACACTTATATTTTTAATTTAATAAATATATACATAATTTAAAAAGTAAAAGTCTCGTCATATATTTACGGTAAATAGAAACTAATAGGTATAAAATATAACGTTATCTCCCGTGTCACATGACGTTACGTGACCGCCGTGGAAGCCGCGGTCACGTGATGCAAGTCTGTTCCATTTAACAGTTTCTTTGAGCAAGGAAGGACAGTGTCCTTGCAAGACATCGCCTCGCAAGGTCAGGTACCTTGACATTGAGAAACACCCTTAGACCCGCTCCTGTGTATTTTAAACCTGATTTTTATGGTTGTGTGTTACGAAGCCACCAATATTTTTCAAAAACTGGGCATCATTTAATTCATTTTCAACACCATTTTGGTGGATGTTTCCAGAGAATAACGGTAAAAACAACACAACAATTATATATTTTTTCAGTTTCCTGGGTTATTGTGACTCACAGTGGGGTCTTGAGCCCAACTGATCTAGAGAAGTTTACTTTTAAATATTTAATGGCAGAACTGCCCAAAAAACTGGTCTGAATTTAGAGAAAACACCAAGTTCTGTTCTATGTTTTACACACCATCAAATTTCCACCCATCCATTCCTGTGGGCATTCAACTTAATTTTATAATGAGAAATCAAAAACGGTACTGTATAAATACTGTAATAATCTAAAGTCAGTCTGGAAACCTGCTAACAGAGTGTCACTAGTAGCATTTCGTTGTCTTTGTGTGTATTTGAGCTGCTAAGGGGTCAAACCTGTTGTTTTTGTCCACGGCGATGCTTTCTCCTCCAGGAACCAGCTCCTTGACTTCTACCATCCCATAATTCTCCCTAGTGATCTAAAATATAAACACATCAGCCTTCTTTTATTCTCTCCAATTAAAAGTAAAATACGAGATTTTCCTTGTGAAGCTAAAATATTCAAAAGCTTCTTCTTTGGTATTAATGTCAACACAGCCATTTCATTATGACCGACTCATCCGTGGTATCCTATGTAACAGCGCATCAGTTTATGCAGAATTGCATAAAATAATAGATTTCAAATGAAATTTTTTACTAAAACACTTTCATATCATTTACTAAATAAACCTTTTGAGCTTCAAGGGTTTGTTGTGGCAAGCAGAACTATATCAGGTATTTTTACCAAAACCTGAGCTGCCAACATCATTGACTGTAAACATAAAGGACGGTCCTTTCGCATGGTCACCTGCACGGTTCTGAAGAGGTGAATTGATGCCCAGTGGGCAGTTCCCACCAGCACCACAGCCATCTTGGCTGCGTCACATGTGTCATCACTCCCAAAATATAAAAAAATGGAGCTGATAATGGGACTGTGAGTGTGGGAGTAGATGACTGACACCCGTTAAACTCTGAGCCAATGTAGCTACGAGCTAACTGAAGCTAACGGAGGTTGGTGGGGACTTTAAGCCGGAAACCTGCAGTTGAGTGACTCTGCTAACCTCTGCCTTCTAGGCTGCAACACTTTTAAACGTGAGGCTGAGGCCTTCCCTGGAGTAAGCAGGAGGAAAGCTGCTAGCTCATCTGCTACCTGTCTATTAAAGGGGCACACCCTAATTATTCATAATATCAAGCTTTAGTTACATCTAAACAGATGAATTACAAAAATACGTTCACCCCCCTCAGAGTTGTCATGACTGTAAACTTGACCTAATAAACCTAAAATGTATTTTTGAATGAGGCTGCTAACATGCTTATTTCTGCTGTGAAGTTGGCCTTTTTAGATCCAGCCCCTAGAGGATGAGGGGGGAACTGCAATTTTGTTGCTGGCTTCAATTTGGCAGGATGTGGCTACCCCATGGCCAACATGACTTAATAAGAGTTTATTTTAGTTTTTTAAAGTAGCGACAGGTTTCATTGAATTATGTAGCCTTTTAATGCTGAAGTAAGGCTTTTGTGACACATTTGGAACGTTGTCTTAAGGAGGATTTAAAAAAAGTTCATAGGATGTACAAAAACGTCCAACATTAAGACATTTCTGGACAGTTAGCTATTAGATTACAAAACACTTAATGATCCAACCCTAAATCAGCTATTAAAACGTGTGAAAAGTTCATTACACACAGAAAAGTTAAGAAGAAATATTTCTTCCACATCTTCCCCTTCATAGTCCAAAAGCTCCTGAAGACTCCTGCAAAAAACAAACAAAAAAAAAACACAGGATCAAATAATCGGAAAGAAAATCTGGGCAAAAATCTGATTACAAAATGTTAGATTAGAGGGGAACTGGTGAAATGACTCAAGAGGGATTGCTGAGAGTTCATTATCCTACAAGAAACAAGGTGGATATTTACAACTCAAGCATGGAAAATGACAAATGGAAAGAAAAAAGGAAAGGATAAGCTAATTAGTATAAGAGGATGAATTCATGTTTCCATGGAGACAAGGTCAAAGTACGAGTTAAAATCGCAAGAAACTGGAGCAATCATGTCTTTAATGAGTGGAATAATGAAACCAGTGATAATAAAAGTTTGTAGAATTTGCTAACAGAAAGACAGGAATATTTTTAAAAGTGGTTGTACGTGGTCTGCTTTGTGAAGTAAATAAACAGAACTTAGGCCATGAGGCATGAATGTCTAGACACACGGATTTTAGCAAGTAAAGCTGTAGAAAAGCCTCCACCTGGCCTCTGTCGGCGAGAGCTCCTTAAAGTCTTCCAGTTTGGGCAAAACATCTAGAAGTTTCTTGTAGAGAGCGAGAGGGAAGTGCAGGTCCACCACAGTGGAGTTATAGATGGCCAGACCACAGATGACCCCAATCAGGTGGAACCAGTTCTGCTCTACAAAACACTAGAAATGGAAATAAAAATGTTTTATTGTCTTTAGGACTATTTTCTCAAACTCACATGTGAAATATGTTTTAATGAAACAGCAGCAGATCCTATTTATTTGAATTGCACTTCTTTGGTTAAAGACCAAGTTCACTGAGAAACTGTTTTTCAGTCACTCAGTTTCACATGCAGGCTGAACGTGAAATAGTCTTCTACCCCTATTTCCTGCATTAGCCACTGATAGAAAACAGACATGGAAACACTCTGGTTAGAAAATACAGACAATAAAACATCATAATGCCAAATTTGCATTCATGGACTTCATGGAGAAAGCGATTGTTGATTTTGCATCCAGGAGAGAGCAGAGCGTGTCTCGGCTAGTAGAAGCTAACCATTAGCATTAGCAACTCCACGACATAGCAGAAATCCTTCAGATTTGTGTTTTTTGTGGAGATAAAACACCAACATTGAAAAGCAAACTGAGGTTATGCTAGAGTTGTGCTGCTGTTAGCCAATCAGAGGCGAGATATCCAAATATCAGGAAATAAGACACCACATCCTGTAGTTTAATCACTTCTACTTCCTGAAACAGGAGCGTCAGAGTTTTTTCCCCACAGATATCGACTAATAAGTCACTCAATTATACTAGAGGCCCCTGCAGATGTATGGAAAAAAAAGTGAAATTGGTATTTAAAGACTCTTTCAGTATCATTTGTTGTAAATTTTCCATTTTAAATAAATGTTGCTTTTATTGTGTCTTTATCCTGCATCAACATGGTCTGTATGTATGTTTATGCTACCCAACCATACGATTTCATTTGTCCATGAACAGCATCTTAAACAAAACTGAGAGTGGCAGATCTGATGGATAACGGTTTCCTCAACAAACAACGGTATAAACATCTTGCATTAGGAGTTGTGTTGCAGGAAAAAAAAAGTGAATCAACTATAAAATAAATGTCAGAGGCAAAAAGAAAAAGACGTATATACATTTTGTGGGCTATATAGAATTTGTTTTCACAGCCTGCTCTGTATTTTTAAATATGGGGGTCACAGTTCTGGGACATTTTCCCTCATAGAGGTGCTTGTTTAGTAAACCTGCATGTTCCCACTGACAAACAGTATCCCTTTGAGTAACTACAGAAACAACAACTCTTCTGGGAAAATACAAATGCAGGTAAAATAGCTGCCTGCACACCTTTGGACCAAACAAAAGGAAGTTACAAAACACCAACCAAAAGCTTGTGGATTAAACACAATACCAACTCTAAACTTGGAAGGAAACAGATATCAAGCCTATTCAGCGTTTTTGAAAGGGACCAGGTTAAATTTGGTCCAGTCCCACTGAGAGGGCCTTCTTTTCTTTCTGCCATCATTAAGCAGTTCCCATTGTAATACATAATAAAGGCTTTAAACAGAGAGGATATGACCCCGAGTGTCTCTCTGTGGTGAGTTCTGTGGAAATACTCACAGTGTCTGAGAACCACAGCAGGTTGGAGTCTTTATAATGAGTGAACATCCCATAAACAGGATCCATCAGCTCTTTTAACAGCAGCAGGAAGAACTCTTTAGTCACTCCACCTGCATCTACAGCCTCCTCGCCATCAAATATCACCTGGAAGGAGTCCAAAGTACATCATCAGTGTTTAAAATTTAGAGAAACAAACAATCATGAGCGCTTCTCCAAACCTTGAGTGGCTTCTTGAGGTCCACATCAGTGTACATGGTGAGCTCACGTAGGGTGTCACTTACTAAATGGTTCCTACGCACATGGAGCACCAGGTAGGGGTTTCTAGCAAGGTGGGGTTCCAGTGTGAGCAGCATAAAGACATTGTGCAAGTTTGCACCACTCACTGCCATCTTGGTAGCATTTGCACATCAAAGAGGGAGGGAGGGAGGGAGGGAGAAACAGAGAGAGAGAAAGAGGCTTTTGTTTTAATACATCTATTAAAAGCTAACTGGCTAAAGTTACAGCTTTTACTTTCATTCAACAGATTATTATACCTGCATTTGCAGTTCAGCATCTGTTTGCAGCATTGTAGTCTTGGCTTGAGCGTTCAAGATGAACGGAAAGGCACAGAGGTTTACGGAGGGAAAGTCACTCTGCAGGGAAAGGTGACAGCATTACACTAATGACGTCTCCAAGACTAATCTAAAAGGATTAATATGGAAACAAATACCTGTGAAGGAGATGATCCAACTTTCTAGAAGTCAAAATAAGAGAAGCAGATTAAGGGAAAAATACTTTGCAACATTGGCACAAATTGTAAAAATCGCAGCCTGTCTGCAGGGTTAGATACCGTAAATCCTCTAATACAGGCCCGGGACTGTATTTGACTCAAGCTCATCAAGCTCCAGGCCTTTATTGGAAGGAGGGCTCGTATTAGAGGCAGGCCTCTATTTCTATTTGAGCAAAATGAACTAATGGTTCGTTGGAGTTTTTGACAATTAATATTGAGCCCACATTTTCAAAGTTAAACACATTTCTTTTAACAACGGTAGTTTCTGCTTCAGCCCCCCCCCCCCCCCCCCCCCCGCGCGTGCACTGGCCGCAAACTCACTGATGCGCCTGCAGCCTCTCAGAGTTCCTGCTGCTCTAAACATTAAAATAATTATTTCATTTTCGGTTCCTCACTTCTGATTACCTTCAATGGTGTCTGTTTGTTGCAACCACCAGGTACAAAAACTAACTTGTTTTTATTTGACTATTTTTCTGTCCTGTCTGTTTATTATCTTCCTGCATCTCCTCTCAATCCTAAAGAGAAACTGCTACCTGGGTTCATATATATTCACCTTATGAGTTACCTTTGAACTGCAGTTCTAAAAGATCTACCGACCGCAAAAACAGCGGAGTGCTCGCTGCTTGCCGGCCGCATCAGTGATCGGCGCGTCACCGGATGACAAGGTGATGTGCCCCGCTCCACAGCAAAACGCATCAGGCGCAAATAAAAGACAGAAAACATCAAAGGAAATGAACCGACATGAACGATTGCGTGTTAAATAATTTGGCAACACCTGATTGTTACTGTGGCCGTGCTCAGGAGGCAGATTACCGACCGCAAAAACAGCGGAGTGCTCGCTGCTTGGCGGCCGCATCAGTGATCGGTGCGTCGGAGGACAAGGTGATGTGCCCCAATTCACAGCAGCGAAACACATCAGGCGCAAATAAAAGACAGAAAACATTAAAGGAAATGAACCGACATGAACGATCGCGTGTCAGTACACGGTCTGGGACATCCCCCCCCCCCCCCGAGCGCAGGAGCTTGTCACCTGCCGACAGCAGGCTGCTGTCTTTTCCGAGGGCTGCATCTTGCCGGTCATTATCACGTGACAGCGACTAGTCGACGACAGGCATAAAAAGTCACTATAGTGACGTCGACTAGTTCATACAACCCCTATTGCTCCCCAGTGTTCTGCAGCGCACGTTCTCTTTGAACTTGATATCAAATTTTCGCCTCCTCTTCGTCTCCGCACGGTTAAAGTTACCCTCGCGGTCTATCACTCGCAAATCAAAAGAGAGACGATGACACAACCGCCCCCCGTACTTGCTTGTTACCACATTCCACCCGGCCACAATAAGAGACCGGCCATTATTCACCTCCGCCGACTCAGACACCGGCCAAAATTGGAGACCCGGCCTTTAACTGAATACCGGCCTGTATTAGAGGATTTACGGTACGTTAACTACAGGTGTCCAACATAACCAACAAAAATAAAACATTTCACTCACAATCTCGGCTTTACTCAGAAACCATTTGAGGTAGTCTTCCTGGATGTCCACCAGGCTGGTGACATCAGGGATATAAAAATGGCTGTACTCCACATGGTTGGCCTTCAGGTTCACCTGGGGAAGCAAAAAATAATAATAATAATAAACAAACAAATAAAAAAAACCTTTAAATGAGCTAATTTCAAAGTAAGCAGTAAACAAACATTTCCTCTTTGACCTGTCCTGACCTTATGGAGTTTCTCCAGCAGCTGCAGTGTGGCCAAAAAATAATTGTCGTAGAATACAGGTACCAAGAGCGTCTTGCCTCCTGTGAGCATAAACACAACAATGCTCTTGTACGTGTCCACCATTCTGGTGAACACATTGCCATCCACAAAACACCACCAGTTATCTGCAAAAACAGAAAGGAAGTAATTAGGGGTAATTAGAAAACATTGATACAATGAAATATCGCAATATTTCATGTTGTGATACTCAATCGATCTCTCTCTATATATAAGTACTGTAGAAAATGTCTTATTGAGAACCTACATGCAAATATTTACTGCATTTCTTTTGGGTGGTGCAAATCAAACTCCAAATGCTAGATGGCAGCGGTTGTTACCACATTCATTCTGACGGAAGAAGAGATCTCATGATAACACTACGGCCAAATCCCAATACTCGCACTTGCACCCTTCAAGTGCGTGTTCCCGGCCAGGGGTTCGAGTGCATTGGGTGTCCCGATTCTCACGTGCGGAAGTTGACCACACCCCCATTGCACCCTTAATCTGCACTTAACCCAAGTCCGCAGAGATGCGGACCTCGGGCAAGGGTATTACCCACAAGTCATTGCTGCAGGAGAAAAGGTTCAAGTTCCTTTTCTGAAAATATGTATTTTCTAATGAAATTAGTTAATTTTAGGACGATTAGTTGATGCTCTGAATGTTTTAGACAAAGCAGCAATGAAGTTAAATTTAATTCAAATAATTGCTTTGTTGTTTGTTTGAAAGTTGTTAATAAAGTTTTTTGAAAAAAGTTTCACAGCGGCCAGCATCCCGGCATGCGTTGCGATCGATGACACAATGCTCCCTGTCTCAATTCAGCAATTATTTGCACACTTGTGTACTACACATTCGAACCCTACTGCGAAATTTCTCCAAGTGCAATTTGCTGAAGACCGTAGAGCGCAGTGCGAGTATTGAGATTGGGCCTACAAGTGTCTAGGAAGTGTCTGGCCGGTGTCTCAAAATGTGCAAATATCTGGCTTTTAGTATCACGATATATTGCATCGTCTACCCATATATATATATATATATATATATATATATATATATATATATATATATATATATATATATATATTCTGAGGCTGTTCAACCCCGACACTGAAGATGACTTCAGTGGTTTCAGTGTGCAGGAGGACGATGACTAAACTAATCAATAACTTTTCTGTTTTGTTTGATACTGATCAGTTCAGTTACGTTCAGTTAAACTACGTTTTCAATTCAGTAGATATCTGCGGCTTTTAGCCCAGTGAGGCTCATATTGAGGTGCGCTCTATAGTCTGGAAATTACAGTATATACATGTATACACACATATATACATACGCGCGCACACACACACACACACACACACACACACACACACACACACACACACACACACACACACACACACACACACACACACACACACACACACACACACACACACACACACACACACACACACACACACACACACACACACACACACACACACACACACACACACACACACACACACACATAAAATCACCAAATTCTTGCCAAAACACACCCTTAGGATTAAATTTGGCTCATCTTGCGTGAAGTAAATCTTTAGTAAATTTTAGTGCTGAATTTAACAAGACAATCACTCTACATCAACATGACACCACCACGTGATGGGGTCGTACCCGAGGGACAGATTGGTGCACGCACAAAACAACTTATCAAACTCCAATAAGTGGTCAGTCTGTGTGTTTAGTTTGCTTCTTAAGACCTCACCAAAACCGTTCAACAACCATCTACATTCTGACTGATCTATTTTTACATTGTCATTGATTCTTAAGATCTCTTTCATGGGGTATAGATGTTTAAAGATGTTCAAGGAGGTATGATACCCAATACTTTGCTGGGGTTGGTGTCTAGTCGGAGAATTGCCATCGCCAGAGGAATGGTGAGACGGATGTAGTTCTTGGAGTCCTGCAGGGCGGGGTACTCGGACAGGATGAGGTAGATCCTCATGGCCTCAACGTCAGGAGGGGAGCGGGGCAGCTGGGGAATCAACAGACTCTCAAAGCTCGTGCTGGCCTGAAAACAGAGGTTAAAAGGTCATTATTTACAGTAAACTTGTAAACAAATTACACATAAAGGACGAATGTAAACTATGTGTTTGAAAGATGAAAGTAGAAACTAGTGAAGGCCACAGGAGAAAAATTGGAGTTAAAACATTTTGGGAGAGGCTTCTAGTGGTTTGGATTGTGGCTAAAGTTCAACCACTGATTAAAAATTCGTATTAGGTTTGGCTCCCAACCCCGACATTACAGAGCCACTAGTGGCTATGACTCAGTCCTGCTCGTTGCTTTTCTGGATCTGTGGAAGAACTTGATGTAGTGTCATAACAAACCCAGCTCCTTTTGGTTCTTACATGTTGCACTACACCAAAAGGTTTCTTCTTTCTCAGCATTTTATTACGGCCAACAACCTAAATAAGAGATTCTGGCTTCAGAAAACAAATCTTCAGTAACAGATCACAAAGATGTTACACTGACAAAACATTATGGTTTTCTTGAACAACCTCACTACAGATTGCTTTGACTGGATTTGAGTGTGTTCCAACTACAGGGGTATCACACTCCACAGCCTCCCGGGGGAACTTCACTCTAGCTTAGGGGTATTCAAGTCCGGTCCTGGAGGGCCAGGTCCAGCATGTTTTAACTGTTTCTCTGCTCCAACACACTTGAATTAACCTGTGTGTTGCAGAGGAGGCTCTGACTGTCAAACCTCATATCCAGGAGGTGCAGTGTGACTTTCATCTGGGTCGAGTAACAGTGAACCAGATCTTCACCCTTGTGGAGTTGCTGAGAGGGTCATGGGAGTTTGGAGCACTCCTTTTTGGAGTCAACAAATGAAGTGTTAACGATAGCATTTTCCCCCCCTCATTAGCTAGTTTGCACCGTATGAAATGATATATAGTCCTTTGCGATGGTTTAAAAACAGGCAGTATGGCTCGGGCTTTATTCAAACTTTTTTCCTGGTACGGGCTGGACTCTGCCATGGGCTGCCCCTGTTTCCCTGGTCCTATTTGTTATGTTCATGGTCACGGCCTAGTAGGCATGGAGAGGAAGGTGTCCGGCTTAGCAAGCGGAGGATCTCTTCCTCAATTTTTGTGGATGATGTGGTATTGTTGATGTCTTCAAGCAACGGCCTTCAGTGTGGACTGGGATGATTCACAGCTGAGCAAGTGAGTAAAGAGGGAGTTGCACTGGTCTGTTGTGGTAAAGATGGAGCTGAGTCAAAAGGTAAACATCTCAATTTACTGTTCTGTCTTGGTTCCAAACCTCACCAACAGAATGAGATCCTGGATACAAGCAGTCAAAATGAGCTTCCTCCATAAGGTGACATCGAGAGCCAAGAAGGCTCAGGCATATGATTGGGAAGCCTCCTGGTTTCCTCCCTCTGAAAGTTATCAAGAACATCCCACTGAAGGGAAGTCCCCAGGAGAACTCAGAAACTTCTTGAGGGATTGCATGTCCTGTCTGGACTGGGAACACCTTGAAATCCCCCAGAGGAAGCTGGGAAGCGTTGCTGGGGAGAGAGATGTCTAGGTTTACCTTCTGGATCCGCTACAATTAGAGGAATAAAATGGATTGTCCGACTCATTTTTTTCCCTCTCTCTAAAGTTGCCTTGTTGAAATTAAACGCTAGTGGGTGAGGAAAAAAGCTGTTCAGGTCAGATAAACATCAGAATGGATACCTGTTCCAGGAGTCCAGAAAAGGCCGGTTTGCTGAGACACTCAAACAGAACTCTGACAGAGTTCAAGTCAATGCCTGGAATTTTGGGGTTGGTTTTGAAGTGAGTATCGTCACTGGAAAACACAAACAAATCAAAGTATGTGCCATCGCAAACTAGACGTAAATAGAGTTCAGATTCAGGGGCACTGTGATAAAAATCAGTGCAAACGTTCAAGTCATTATAAATGAAACAAGAATCTACTCGACCTGGCCATGAGCCAGGTCAGCTGTGAGTCAGGCTCACTGAACGGAACAGAACGTTAATAATTCCTATAACATAAGCTGTGGTTGGACTTGGATGATGTGGGCAATAAACACAAACTGATTAATACAACTGGAACATGACTCAAACAACCCCCCCCCCCAAAACCCAACACAATAGACAATGATATTTATAGTTTCAACTTTAACTTTTTTAGAGCAAAATGTTTGATTTAGCTTCAACACATCAGATCTCACCCTGTGGAACTCATAACACCGGTGTTGATGCTACACACAACAGAGGAATGAGTCAGTGCATGGTGACTCTGCTTAAAGATCATCTAAAAGCTGTTCAGGGTCAAAAGTAAAGCAAACTGTGACAAATGATATGTTTGCTGTGTACATATGCGATTTAAACATCTGAAGAAAATCCCACCACTTCATCTTTCAAAATCAGTCTAGAGTTAGGCTGCAGCTGATGAGCCAGATAATGGATTGTTTTTCCATCATATGATGAAAATGAGTCAATAATGAAGGAAGAAAATCACTATGACAATGTACTAAAGAATACTTTGTAGTGAAGAGGTCCTTCATTTATATTATTAATAAATCTGAAGGGAGCAATTTTTCTATCCCTCATTTTCCTGCATCTCTGTTCAATTCTCCAGAAGCATCTTACTTTTTCACCTCACAAGTTACTTTTGAACTAAGCACATCAAAGAGATCTACTGGACACAAAAATAGCCGAGCGTGCGCTCAGCCGCGTCACTGGAGCATGGGCGGCGAGCTCCGCTGCAGTAGCGAAGCGCGTCAGACATCAATAAAAAATAGAAAGTATCAGTGAACATGAACAGACATGAACTGTGGTGTATACATAATTGTTTTGGTTGGGTCACTCTCTGCTTAAAAGAATCCCCGTTACACTGAGAGTCCATATAAATAATGTAATATAGGAAGAAAAAACTTTTTCGGGCTCCTCCTGGGTGTGTAAGTTGAGGGCTTCCAGCTCCCCCCAAATTCAAACCCTGCCCCTGGATGAAAACCCCAGACATTTTCATCAATACAGGAAACCCCCGTGGATGCCCCAGACAGATAGTGGAAAAATTGACGTTAGGGATGCACCGATACGATACTGGTATCGGTATCGGTGCCGATACAGATACTGATACCAGTATGGGTATCGGTAAAAGTTAACAGATTCCAGTAACTGATACCAATGCAGTTGCTTGAAAGTGTCTTCACTGTAACTTGTCATTTCTGTTCACCTAATATTTTAGTTTTGTGATCACTTATACTACCTTTTATCTACCTCACAGTCTTTTTCCTATTGAAAACAGAAGAAAATAAAACCTGTATTCCAATTCATTGCATTTTTTTGTGTGGTACAAGTATCTGTATCGGTAATCGGTATCGGCGAGTACTCAGATCCAAGTATCGGTATCGTATCGGTTTGGAAAAAAAGTGGTATCGTTGCATCCCTAATTGACGTGTTTGGGGAAAAGAGGACGTTTGGTCACCCTACTGTATTCTGAAGGAATGAGATTTTGCGATAAACGCGGATTCACCTTTAAAGCAAATTTTGTTTTATAAATTGCAATATCACCTGTTCTTTTTGTATCACAATATATCGTATGGTTTCCCGATATCTTGATAGATATTGTATCGCCAGATTCTTGTTGATACACACCCCACCCCCCGTTACTCTGGAACCAGTTGCCACCCTCAGTCAGGCTGTCCCCTTCTCTGCCAGTCTTTAAGAATCACCTAAAAACACACCTCCTCCGCTTGGCGTTTCCAGAACATGTTTGATTATGGCCCTCTATTATGTTGAATCCATTCCACAGTTTTCATTGGTACACTCAATCCATCCACTCAATCCAATTGTGTTTCACACATTTGTATTTTACCGGAATGTTTCATCTATTTTGTTATTTCCATTTTGTATTTTGTAATTTGAATTTCTTTTATTGTTGATTTATTCAGTATAATTACTTACAACTGAACCATGTTCAGCGCTTTGGGCTTCCTGACAGGGTTGCGGAAGGCGCTTTATAAATAAAGCTTTGATTGATTGATTGATTTGTAAAATTGATCAAAAATGTGATCTATAAATAAAGCTGCCTTGCCGAAATAAGAAAGAGACATAGCTACCCAGAGATCATTTATTTTTAATGAAAGACTGATTTGAAACCAAGTAATTTAATTACCATCATGAGAGCTCTTGATGGTCTTTTATAGGGTGAGATTGAATTTACTGGCTGCTTAAATCTAGACACTTTCTTTGTGGTTCAGATTTGGATAAGACCAACGTTTTGGCTCCATTAAAGAAACTCGATGACTTGGTGTTGGTTTCAGGAGACTTTCTACATCTGCAGAAACTTGCCTTTGATCCAGCTGACCTCTCAAACTCGCTCTCAGAACATGATAAGTATCTGCTGATGGGTCGGCCACAAAGAGCCATGGACTTCACATGGGTTCGGAAACATGGAGGGTAGCACTCATCTAAGCAACTGCTCAGATAACATCTCTCTCAGAGGCATGCATTTGTTTTGATGAATAAGGTTTAGCACATGGAGCAGTAAACTACAACATGAAGAACAAGGACACCTTGTAAGAACATTAACCTGGGCATTGAACTCGGTGACTTGTTGTCCTTTAAGCTGAAGGTCAAGTTTGTCTCATTTTAATGAATCTGTAATCCTGAATAATGAAACTTAACAAGTTAGGTTCCTACTGATGGATAAAAAACTGTTCTACCTCCTGGTTGCAGCAAAGATTGTTCTTAATCGCCAGTTTTATATCAGAAAAACATTTTTGTGCTCAAGGGCGTTTAAGTAACATAGCTCCAATTATTGTTTAGTTTCTTCTTCAGTCAACTAAACTTTTTACTCACCGTATATAAACCATATATACATATTAAAGGTTTACTGATTTCATGGGCTTATTTTCTGACTTTAAAATGTTTTTATTAGCTCATATAAAGATCTTGAAGATTACTGAGAAGACTACCCATGTGAAATACTTAGAAAAGGTTTGTGTACCTTTGGTCCAAGAAGCTGGCGTTCCAACAAGCTGCAGAGGAGAGTTGGATTACAATATCACTGCGGGCAACAACAAAAAAACCACAGACGTGTTAGCTGACTGGAGGACGCAGAAGGGCTCAGACAGTCGAATAAAGATTGTGTTTTGTGAAAAATAAAACAATTTTTTTTTTTACCAAAGTGTAAAACGAGAACTAGCGACTCACTTTGCAACACTGGAGTCTGTGTTGTACATCAGCTTTAACCTCCAGGAGTTTAACCTCTCATAGTTGATGGGAGACAAACTTTTACTGATGTTGATCACTCTGAAGTCCACCGGGTTGATAGAATTCTGTAGAAACAAACGCAGAGCGTGGTTTACGTGGATCCTTCTGATGTGTGTGTGAGGAGCGGATCAGGTTCAGATGAGTCTGTTTCATCAGAGGACATGAAACCACAATAAAACATCTGAAGGACGTGCTGCTGAAGCAGAGAGCTTTTACACTTTTAATAGGAAACATTTCTGACCAGATGCCTCGGAGGTTTGAGCTCAATTATAGTTAGTCCTCTATATTTCTTACGGCTTAACAAGTCAAAGCTTAGGCATCACCGCCACCCAGTGGTGAAACTGTGACGCTAAGCAGAAGACATATTTGTTGATTAAACTGTCAAGATTTCAGGTTGTGAGATTTCTGCAGCAGGCTACAAAAGCTACAGGTAAAAAGTGCAAATGAAAACAGGTTATAACACGTGCGTTTTTGATGCTCCTAAAATAAATAAATTATAAACAAACGGAAAGTTCTGGATTAAATGCATTTGAATTACATGAGCTATATCGGTGATTCAGCTTCAATGCTGTGACGACACAGAAGCAAAAATTGAAGTCGAGACATTCTCTGTTTTTTCCTGGACATCAAACCAACAACAGCCTTCGCTGTCGTGAGTCAAGATGGTTGCATCAATGAACTTTAAGTGACAGTGTGGCGTAGATCTATCAGGCTTTTCAAATCCTGAAGTTGAATCATCTATTTTCTATCAGAAGCTAATGCAGGAGATAGGTGTAGGAGACTATTTTCATGTTCAGCCTGAATGTTATACTCGGAGTGATTGATTATAATCAGAAATAAAGAAATAAAATAGGTTTTCAGGGAAGTACCATAGTAATAAAGCCTTAAATCACAAACCTGCTCATTGGAGTATAATAGGAAACTGTGGTCTCCTCCACAGATGATCTTTATCACCATGTACTGCTTTGTTTCTGAAAAAAAAAAGAGGCAAAAAACAGAAATGCAGTGAATTAAACTTTTGTACATAGTGATCATCTGCTTTGTATCAAAATGTTCACGAAGGAATAAAATAATAAATACATCAAAAGCAACAACTCGGAACTAATCAAACGTCTTTAGTGTTGTAGTTTTATGAATTCAAAGATTCACATCCTCCAGGCAACACCTAGCGCTGAACTATTTCACTTCAGTTCACTATTTTCTTCAACTCAAGCTTCAGCACAATGACAGAAAATGACATCAAACCAAAACATTAAAAGCCATTACTCCAATAACGCAAGGATAAAAAATAATAAAACTAATAAATGGACCTTTTTTTTTTTGTTTTTTACACCCTTTACCCTTGGGAAGTTTTTTCTCTGCATTTGACCCATCCTTACATTAGTAAAGAGCAGTGGGCTGCAACTTGTATCACACCCGGGGGGAACTTTGGGGCTCAGCATCTTGCCTGAGGACACTTTGGCTCTGGCCTGCTGGGA